TGAATAAACTCAACTTGATATTTTAAAAAAGTGACTTATACTACTCTCTCTACGAGTTTCACCTGTCCATTTCATCAAAATGAGTTATGTTTATCTTTGTGATATATTCCAACATTACAATTTGCATTACAAACATATATTACGCTGTCGGATGGATGCGCGAATATTATCTGATCAATTAATCATTACATTTTTATTTTCACAATAATAATTTTTTAAAATCGAGAATGGTTTGCTCGTCCTCTATTGGCTATCAGGATTTCTGAAAATTAAAAATCAAAACTGATAATTAGTGAACGTGTTATTATTTTTGACAGATATTTTTGTTATCTCGTTAATAGCCGTAAACCGAAAACATGTTTGGATTATTTTGAATTGTTTATTAGCGCGAAAATATTTACGTCAGAATATTACGCGTGAAAGTCAGCGTTAATTTATCGGTGCGATTAAATGTGATGACCGTTACACATACACCACAGGTAAAATGACGGAATTCAATTTGACCGATCTTCGATTTTTCGAAACGAACAGACGCTGGTGGCATTTTCATTATTCACGGCACATCGGCACCTGCATTAATTATAGCACTTTGATTTTGCTATGTGATTACTCCGTGCGGGTGATACGTTTCTCGCGTGTACATTCGCTATTCAATTTCGCCAGTTAGCAAAGTTTGCGCCTCAGAACTTGGGCGAGTGGCGAGTAGCTCTTCTGCAAGTTTGATAAACAAAGGATAATCAGTGTGGATAGAAATAATCATTGATGAGGAGAACGTTGGATTTTCACGCGGTAGCGAAATAACTTAAGGATCGTCATTTCGAAAGGGGAAACGCGCGCGTTGGTTGGCATTTTTATCCTCGTAATTTGCGAATAATAAATTTTCAAGCTGTTTTCGAGAAAAGGGCGACGAATACGGACTTGTTTTCTTCGCTCTCGCGCGTTGCCAATTATCTCCGAAATGCTGCTGTTGAAAATATTTCGACGGCGCGGCGTTTTAACGCAGTGCTGCAAACCGTGCTCTTCCCCGTCAGGCATTTTGCAGAGATAATAGCGTTGTCTCTCGCTCGCTGTCATTCGCGAGCCGACGGAATCGTGCCCCTTATCACCACCGTCCGCCCGCGCCGCGCCGCGCCGTACGAGCCGACAAACAATGGCGGCGGACAATGGCAGCGCTCGATCGACGACAATGGATTTTGTCGTATTCTCTAATCCGCGCCGGGACGCGCATCGTTCGCCTTAATGATGCGCTTCTCCCTGCACACTCGCGGGCTATTCTCTCTAATTAGCGAGAATTTGTTCTGCTTGTTCTTCGGTACGATGCGCACCAAGAGTTCGCGAACTTTCGGTGAGCGTAATTTTTCTTATCGGTTTAAACTGAAGAAAATTTGAACTTGAATTTTTTCGAGTACTACTTAAAAATTTTAAGTACTTCTGGAGAGATCCTCGAAGAGGATTCGTAAGAAATTGGACACTGTCCTGAAATGTCCTGAATATAGCGGACCAAACGTTTAAGATCAAATTGGATAGATATCCCTCCATATGCATCTCATTTCATCTTATGCATCTCTCATTCTGTCTTATGCATTTTACTCTATCTCATTCTATCTTAACCCTAATCGGTATTCGCTTTGAATTTCCTTACTGGTATTCGTGAAATCCAATGTGCTACGAGTTAATGTATTTTTGTTTAAAGTTAACGTAATTGAATGATCGATTTTTTCATTTTGAAAGTCAAATTCTGAGGAATAAGATTGTGATTTAAAATTATGTAAGGTTGTGAAAAACATTTGTTATAGACAATTTTCTGAAACGTAGTTGAAAAAAATGTCCGGATACACTGATTAAAATCATCTTGAATATGGCGTATCAAGTTAATCAAGTGAACCAATCAAAATTTATTTAAACGGTGTCTAATCTCTTATTCGAGGATCTAGGTAGGGTAAAAGTAGGGATTATGGAACAGCTTTTTTTAAACTAACATTGCTCCGATATAAATACATATGAAGACTTAAAATTTTTACACAGAACTCTTGAGGAATATGTCAGCTACAACATCCAATAAATGAAAGTCGTCAAAATTTAAGTCCAACGTCAATATTAACAAAAAAGTCAAAAGTGAGAAAATGGGGGGGTTCTAAAAAGTGGGATGTAATATGGAATACCGATGAAATTTTGACCACAGTAATAAATAACATAATAAATGAAGTCCAAATTTGTTTATTTATACAAACTGATCAAGAAAAATAGGAAACTGTTCAATTTTTATTGTACAATAACACAGAAAATATAATAGCATCATTACGAACGTTATTGCGCATGGACAAATAAAAAATCACAAATAAGCTGATAAATCGCAAATAAGCTGATATAGAATACACGCTGTAATCTAACCTAACCTAATCTGATCACGAATAAGTTGCCAACATGCATGGAATCTATTCCATATTCTCAACCCTCGATGTATTCCACATTACCTGCACGTCGTCATATGACAAATAAAGTCTTTCCGTAACAATAAACAAGTTTGAAATAGCAATTAATCTGCATAATATTGTTCATGCAACACTATTAAAAGCGCCTGTGCAATATAAGCATTAAAAAAACTTACCTTCAGTTTGTGGGAACACTTTGTAGAAAAAGCTACGGAATCTTCTGACGTAACGAAAATGAATAAATGTTAATTGTAGCAAAACGATTGGTCGGACCGAGTTCATTGCTTGTTATGACATGTTTGGTAACAGTTGCAAGAACTTTCAGCGATTGTCGCCAGATCGTAATGCTTTGTTTAAAAAATAAGCCACTATTATTTCATATTAGTAGCCTATGCCATAATTCCTGATTTTACCCTACTCCTAAATATCTTGAATTGATAATTTCTTCTACATTTGATCGTATTTTTTATTGTGATTTGACGTCTCGCGATAAATGTACACGTACACGAGAAACGTACGTTGTATACAGTAATCTCTGCTAATCCTGCTAATCGAGAGTTAACCCTTGCTCCAGGAAATCACCCCGGAAAGCCTCAACGAGATTTCCGCGCGCCAGGGATGATCCCCTCGTTATTATACAGAGAGGGTGAAATAGACGGTCGAATAATTCCGCTATTACCGACATTGAGATCTACGGCGCGTCAAGAATTGTTCGGCCGTTTGTTTTACGATTACGATTGTTGCGAGTCGGAAATACAGCGTCGCGACGAACAATGAGACGCATACGACCGTACCAAAGTTCGGGATTTACACGTGTAACGAGCGCGAGCTCCCCGTGCTTGCGTGAATAGTAAAAAAAGCAACGCGCAAAAGAGAGCACTGCGCAAGGAACATGAGGAGAAAGCGATGGAGGAAAGGGAAAGACAGTAAAGAGAGAGTGAAGGAGTCGGGAAGAATGGGAATCCATTAACGAGTGCCGTTTTCATACCTCTTCTATGCCGCTCTATATATTCACCCCTCGCCCGCCAACCCTCTCGCCGTTCGCCCTTAGCCAACTGTATATATCCTCCTCTATCCCCTTTCTCCGTCTTGTTGCCTGAAAGAGCATTCACTGTGGTACAATAGATCGTTCATTACCGATACCAGGATCCGAAAAGCGGGAAGATAGTAAATGCGAGAAAAGGGGTAGTCGGCCGAGGTGCGAGTTTCTAAGCGTGCGGGACTTATTAGTCCGTGTGCGTATAATTCACTGTGCAAGTACAACCATACGGTATTATGCATGTATACAGGAACGTGAGGAAGGCGGTTGGTACTTTTAAGGAAGATGGCCGAATCTCCATATTTTCTGAATGCAATTTCACGGCAATCTCACAATTACGACGAAATCGTGTCTGATAGTGATTTAAATTCGAAGTCGTTCTTCGCTTTTAACCGCTTCATTTGATGATTTATTCGCATACATTATGTGTACTTATATATTCATTTAATGTAGTATTCAATGTACAGAATGTATTCGATTTAATCTGTTCACGCCGATCTCAGAAATTAAAGTGACGAAAAATAAAAAAATCTTTAATGGGATTACTTTGAGATTATTTTACCGTGATGGAACTATACTTATTTTCTACAAAATTTTAAAGGAGAAAATAGTGGAATTTTTCAAATGGAAATCTCCAACCGCGAAATAGCATCACACTCGATAGAACCGAACTCGAAAATATGAATCTAATGATTTATATGATATTTGAAGTTCTACTTCGATATTACGACCGCAATGAATTTTTTTAAATGTAAAAATATGTATATCGATTTCTCTCGATATTATATGCATAAAAGATTAAAATAACGTTATTTAGAAATTAAAAAATTTATACCTAAGTCATTTCATATTTTATTCTGACACATTTTAACATAAAATGTGTCAGAATAAAATATGAAATATTTCGTAAAATATTCACATTCTGATCATACTTTTAATACATATATTATATATATTATCAGGAGAAACCGATTTACGTAAGAAATTTATATAATTTTGTTTAAAACAAAATATGACATAACTTATAAAAATTGGAGAACAAATTTTTATATTATCTAGTTCTATATAAAAAATAATGAAAATATTGTATTATATTTCTGTCATATCTTTTATCGTTTAGCGATTACTTTAAATGGCCCTTCGAAATGACATGTATATTTTAAACACATACCTAGTATAGATTTGCTAAATATTCTCGAGAGAGTAATTTTTCATTAAACAATGAATTAAAAAATGTTACACGGTGTATTATATATGTATAATATAGTAGATTAAAATATATCTGTGGTAAATAAGATATTTTAATATATTTTTACTCTTCTATTTTGAGAAATTTATATTTTTGAAATAGTAGATTTTTATTATATTTTCTTTATGGTAGTTAAAAATGTTTCGTCAATTTTGACAATTTATAATTAATTCTTTCCGAAAATGTTAAATTTTTAGAAGATTTTTAAGTCGTCTCGCAGCTTTTCTCAAATTCTCGAGTCAATTTAATCATTCAATTAATTTTGTTTTGTTTATGTCAGTGACGTGTTAAGACTGCGAAGAGGATTAGGAAGTGGAGCTAGCGGACATTAGTCGCGACCATCGATGGCGGCCGCGAGTTTTCCTCCAAACTTCTCGAACGTCGGTGTACTAGAGAATTGGTAAGTGTCTTCCCATCTTAATTGCTACTGAATTTGCCTCTACAAAAAATAAAAAGCTGAGACCTTGATTTGTCGTTATAAATCAATAGATTAGCTATTATTTATTCGTAACTAATCTTCTTACAACGTTGAGCTTTTTGTGAGAGCTTTATAGAGACATGTAAAAAGTTTTAAATAATACAATAATCTGTTGACGAAAGATAAATAATTAGCGAAAATCCGAAAATCAATTATTTACTACTTTACGGATTAATTTTCTGTTTAAATCTCCTTCAACTGCTTAGCGTTTAATATATAGAAAAAAAAATACTATAAATAATAAATTTATATCTGACTGTTAAGTTTGTCTATTGTTAAGTTTGTGTCTATTTCGAGGCTGTAAAATTATTACTTACTCGGCAATATTAATTTTAAATGTACCGTATACATATTTATTGTATCTGAATATAACGCGACCATATCAAAGATATAATAATTGATTTTAATGCATGAGAACTCAGCTTTAATTGCTGATAGATTAGGCTTATGCTATGTCTGCATGTTAGTAATGTGTAAATTTATACTTTCTGTCTCAAGCTGTTTTACGATCAGTGTGTATACACAGTGCACGATATACATTCTAAGAAGATACATTCGTATCTAATTGTAAGATGAGATCTCGACAATATCGAGACATTTGTTTAATCAGCTTAACGAAATTATTTCATTTGCATTTTTTTCGTTATTGAATATTTCCTTTATCGAATACAGTTAATAAATCACCAACTGTTTCTGTATATAAAATCAGCATTTGTCATCTGCAATATTTAACGAATCGTTTCTGAAAAATTGCTAAGAAACCCAAGTTAACATTGTAGGATTGATGTAATACCATTAACATTATGTATTGCACTATTTAATGCTCTACATTAAACATCTTTATGGCTGAGTTAGGAATTGAAATGTTGCTGAAGCGGTATCTATTTGAATTCAACGTGGAAGAAATTCTGTAACTTAATTATGCAGTTCTTGAGCTTTAAATCACGAAAATTTCCTCTCATTTCTCATTAATTTCATCTTAATCTTAATCAAGAAATCCGTTTCGCGCATGTTAGTTACAAATCATCCTACATACCCGAGCGAGTCGAGATCTCGGCGTGATATTCGGACGTCGCCGGGTACAATAAAGTGGCTTAGACAATGCGGTATTGTTGTATACACGTTTCAAGATATCTTGCACGGAAGGTCAGACGCCGTATTATCGTCCGCCCGTCATGGACGGAACGGAATGGTTGCAGAAGCGACGGTGAAAAGACGACGGGATGAAAAGTAGGTTTCTTCTATTTTTCAGTTTTGATTAAAGTTCCTTTGGGAAGAGCGAACATAACGATTCTTCATGTACGCGCGCATATACATGTATACTTACAGAACATACATAGCGGATGAACACTCGGCTACGTACGACTTTTCGTATCCCTTTCTCCCTAACATTTCCGTCGTGTTTCCGCGGCTCTCTAGTCGAAAGACAAACAGGGAGATCCGTATATACTTACGATTAGGTGTCTCTCCTAGCACACCCTTTGTTCCTGACCTGCGAACCTTATTCGCCGAAGATCGAACAAGGAGAATAGTAATCAGAAAGACCTTTGTAACGGAGTACAGCGCGAATATTTTTTTAGGAAAACCGTGCCGACGTGTTGATTCGCTCGTGACATGAATTATTGCACTGAGAGAAAAAATAGTCACTAAAATATTACGGTTTAATTTTACGGTCATTTTCGTGTTGTTAATTGTATATTTTTTTTGTAGAATTTTATAATATAATTTTTATTACAGCCAGTAATAGGGGAGAGTAGGGAAATTGTTACATTTAAAGGAAAAGTTAAATAAAGCCGGTGATTATTTACTCTCTAATTAATAAAAATCTAAAAATTCTCCAATCATTTAGATTTAAACTACAATAATTGATATTCATATATGTATTATCACTATATAAACAGTATAAACTATAATTTTAAACAAAAATTTCAATCGGGCATTGCCCCGCGTGACAAGTAATTTCGAACGGCAAGGAGTTTGTTTTTTTTTAATTATAGTTTAAAATTATGTTTTACATAATATATAAATGTTAAAATAAAGAACATATATAAATGTAATCAAAGAGAGGAAATTCTTTGTAAGATACTTTATGGCCAACTTAAGCATACTGAGTGTACACACTGTACACACACACACACACACACACACACACACACACACCGACTGTAACGTTTTTTTTTTCTTTTAAGTATTTTTGTTATTCCAGCTCATGAATTCTTATTACTGAAAATTCATTATTGCTAAACATTGTGGAAATAAGTAGATAAGTCCATGTTAGAAAAATAGTTCTTTCTATATTCTTGCATGTCAATAAACATGTCAATATGTTAATAAACTTATATTTTATATATTATAATTATAACATATATTCTATATATTTATTATAAACATAATATTAGATTATTTTATTTTCCATTTCTTTAACATTTTTTTAATGAAAAAGAGGGAAACATATATGTATATTATACTACTTTTTCTGGAAATTTTTACTGCGTTCATGTAAATATTTGAAAATGTTTTATACATATTTTTTAATGTTCAATAATGTTTCCTCTTTTGAAATTGACTAGTTTTTTAATTTTAAATTTAGCAAAAAATTAGAAAAAATCGCAAAGCTTAGGTAGGTCATATAGGGTCCGGTTACCTCAATAGTATTTACCTTAAACAGCGTGTGCATTCTATGTGTAATACTCGTATAGTACGGCATTAAGTGTATATCGGACTATCATTGGATGTGAGAAATGAGAGATTATTACTACTCTAATATACTGTAATGGAGTATATCATTAGTGTTTACCTCGTGTTCACAATTCTCTTCACTCTCTCCTAACTATATAAAAATGGAGTTTTTAACTATAATTATTTTACCATTCAATTATATAGTAAATATCGAACGCTTCTCTCTCAATGTACTATCTACGTGACTGCTGATTACTGGGACTGTAAACGGGAAGTGCCAATATTACATGTCATGTTACGTTTCGTGCAAACGCAATTCTGAATCTCGAAATAGTTGAGAAGTCGCGGTTTAATCGTATGTGAATTTGTAATATCCAGACGTGTGTGCATTTACATGTGTATACATACATACATACATATATACACATGTATATGCACACACGTCTGGATATTACAAATTCACATACGATTAAACTGCGACTTCTCAACTATTTCTAAATATCGCTCAAGTAGCGATATTTAGAAATAGTTGACAAGTCGCAGTTTAATCGTATGTGAATTTGTACTTAATTTCTACTTAAGCGATATTTAGAATTGTACATGTGCGATGAACCGCTTAGTAATGCTTTTCGTTATAACGATCAAATGCCGCATCGATCCCTCGAATGTCGATTAGCGGCATTAACGCGGAGGATTATATCGTTCATCGCGACTGATACGAATTCGTCGAATTCAGTCGTATCAGTGATCTCTCTCGTTAAAAGAATTTAATAATGAATAGACTTTCTCTCTCTCTCTCTCTCTCTTTCTACGATGTAATAAGCTTAAAACGTTGTATTATCCATTTAAAATGGAATATTGCGTCGCGAATGTGCTATTTTGCTGCGATTATTATTCCTAGATATTTCTTAAATATTACGGTGAAAGGTTAAAAACAATTAGACTAAAGAGCCCTCTTGTATTTTTGGAGATATTTTTGAAACAATTTTTGCCTTTTATTGAAACTTTGCATTTTCAATTTTCATCTACTGCCGTGTACTCTACGCAGCTGTAACGTAAATACTTGGAGTTTTTTCATTGAAACACTCGCTGTGTTTTAAAATACGACATCTCGTTTGTGAACATTCCTCAGGCTTCAGGCATTAATCTATTTACGGACGTGTTTTTGCAACAGCGAGTGCATTCGTGCGTTGGCATATTTGGCATTTCGGACACTTTCTCGTTACACTCATACGTACGTATAACAAGAGAGTGTTAAATGATGAACGGTACGGGCGGCGGGAAGCGATACATTTTCATTGTACTTTGTCGCGCAAGAATGACGAGCCGGACCGCTCGTATTTTCGGAGAGTCCATTGAGAAGAAAGGAGGGAGGCAGTCGCGTTCGTTGACAGTTGCATGTTGACGGGTTCCTTTGCGGTTAACGCGACTTGGAGGCCGCCGCGTGTGAGGGCGACTGGCAGGTGCTAGGTACGTGCGCCCACGCGACGTATATTGGTCGTCGAGATAGAGTGGGTGGCGTCCACAATTAGCCGACGTTAGCGCGCGCGTACGTCATAAATTGATGTTACGCCAGACGCGGCGGACGTGTCGCGCGTACTCGCGTCGGTGACAAACCGTTTGAATTTTTGCTAACGGCGCGTAGAATTAATTTGCGCGACGGCATAGCGGAAATAGAAATTGAAGCGAATCCGTCGCGTCGCGTCGGCCGAGATTTTCCAGCGTAGACGATGCAGCCATATCGCGACGCCCGCGCCGCCGCGCCAGCCGCGTTCGGCGTCGCCGACCCCCCCGCTCTCGCCGAGAACTCGGAGAGAAATTTCTAAATGAGTTTGAATATTTGATAAATTCATTTCGGGAAACATTGCGTCGCGCTATTCCGCTAGTTCGCTTTTATTTAGATCTATCGCAGTGCCCTGGTTATCGGTAAAAAAGCGATGGATATTTGTCACCATTATTTTTTCACCTTTTTCCCATCCGGGATGTTATTTCTTTCGCGCGCTTCTGCTTTTGTTCAATTTTATCTGGGGGACGATTGACGTAAGCGTGTCATTTCCAAAGCAGTCGTTCAGCAGTGCTTCCGCTTTCGTACTACGAGATAGACTTACGCAGCGATAGATATTTACGCAAGTTTCAAATCTTCGAAGCAGATATTTCGAAATGCATCTTTTGTGCCTGGTGAAAATCCAATCGCAGACTTAATATCGGATAAAACCTTTCCATCTTTCGATCGATTTCCATTC